AACAGCCTGAGAAGAGCTTTGTCACATACCTTTTCTGTGGCGATGTCAGTGTCGCTCTCCGTGCTGCTGTCATCATCCCGGGGTGAAGCTGGAAAAACAAGCAGCGCCGTTTTGCTGTGAAAAAATAATCCTCCTGGGCGCTTTCCGTAGCACTCCTTTAACCATTCCTTCATTAGACTTTCCAGCATCCATCCTTTCTGGTGGACTAAAACTGCACCTCATTATAAGCCGCATGGTTCAAAGCGCCAGAAAAAGTAGCGGCTTATAGTCCGGAAAATACGGTACTTTTTTAATATCATTGGTCACTCTGAATTTCACGCACAGGCTGAAAATAGTCTTCTATTCCTGCATTAGCCGTTAATAGAAAATAAACGGGGAAATGCTTGATTCACAAAACGCCAGACAGATCTACGTCACATTCAAAATGAGCATTAATGGATTCATCCATCGTGACGGGGAAGGCTGTTGCTCTGTTTTAGCGTCCAGGAAACAGCAGAAAACATTTCAGCTAGCGGAAGCTAATCATTAGCATTAGCAACTCTACCACAGCAGAATTCCTTCAGGCTTGTGTTGTGTGTGGAGATACTGTAAAACATCAGCATTGCATAGCAGAATCAGTGGTAGAGTCACGCTGTTGTTATCCAATCAGAGGCAAGATGCCCAAACATCAGGAAATAAGACTCCAAATCCTGCCGTGTTCTGCTTCCATCTGCTCAGGGTAACTTTTTGAAACGGGAGCACCAGAGCGTTTCCCCACAGGGATCTACTCACAACACAATCATTTATACTAAAGGACACTGCATGTGTTGGACAAATAGATGAACATGGTTTTTAAGAGCAAAACTGTTCTTATTAAGGATGTACAAATGTGCAAATGTAGAAAACTTTTTTACAATTTGTAAGCAATAAAGGGATGAATTGGATCTATAATCTCCATCAATTTTTTTTTTCCCGGAACTGCGCTGCTCTGGGCGGCTGCATGTTGGAGTAGCTCTGTTGATTATATGTAAGTTTTGCCTTTTCTTGGGCATTTTTTCTTCTAGTTTCTCAAGAAAAACTGTATTTTTTGGACACTTTACTTTCCTGTTTCTGGTGCTGTGAAGCTTGGAGGATTTTTACTGCAATGTTTTAGCTTTTTTCACTTTTTGAGCATTTGTTATGATGCGTAACCATGGCAACAAGCTGGTTTACAATCAGGAGCAGCTGATTAACATTGGAAAGGCTGAAATAATACCTCAACTGAAGCCACAAATCCCAAATGAGCTAAAACGCAAGAAGCGTGGATGCAGAGCGGGAGCAAAACGGAGACAGAGAAAGAGGAAATTCAAACCATCTCTTCCATCGATCAGAATGGGCAACGTGAGATCACTGGCCAACAAGATGGAGGAACTCCAAGCCCTTTCAAGGACTCAGCCAGAGTTTTGGCAGTTTTGGAACCGCTGGAGGAGATAATGCAAAGAAGGATTCTCCAGAGAATCAAGAAAATTATGAACAACCCTGAGCATTCTCTTCACAAGACTGTCCGACAACGGAAGAGTGTCTTCAGTCAGAGGCTTCTTCAGTTTGGCTGCAACACTGACCGTTACTGGAGATCCTTCCTGCCAACAGCCATTGTAATATACAACAACTCTTTGATGACTTGGTTATTATTATTATTCTGAGCTACAACAGCAATCAATTTCCCTCTGGGATTAATAAAGTATTTTTGAATTGAATTGAATTGAATTGAATAGTTTTGTTACTGGCCAAAGGAAAACAAAATGACTCTAATTTCCCCTTATCATAACAGAAATAATGTCACATAATAAAAGGTTTGCAGCTAAATTCTCTAAACTGGAATTTGGCACCATCAGTAGAAAAATACTGGGACTGCAGCCAACTCTGCATCTTTCCTCAGCCCTTCCTTCCTTTCACCCATCTGTTATTTGTTCCATAATAATAATAATAATAATAATAATAATAATAATAAACTTTTCTGCTCACTATCAAGAGCTGTTTTGATTGAAGATGGCCATAGTATTTGGTTTTAAAGAGCAAGTCACCCCCTACCAAAGTATTACTCCACTCCCACTTCCTGTTTGAAAAATGCAACAAATGCTGTTGCCCAGCAGACCAAGAGGGCGAAGCCGCTAACAAATGTACACAGGCTCACAATGACACTGTGACATCATATGGTACCAGCTAACGTCCTAGGGTACCTCTTAGCGAATAGCGATGGCAGATTTAAATTCAAATGAAGTGCAGAGTTTTTACCTGATGGCACAACACTGACAGTTTTAGGCAGAAAATTAAAATTTTTACTAAAATGCACTAAAGTGCAAAACTATTAACTGCACGTGTCTGCAGCACGATTAGACACGTATTTATATAGTTTATCAGAAAAAAAAGTTGATTTGGGGGCGACTTGCTGTTTTATATCATATTCTTGGTACTTTAGAGCAGGGGTTCCCAAACATTTCAGCTTCTGACTCAAAACCTGCAGAGGATCTGGACTTCTATGAGAGGTAATAAACAGATGTTGTTAATGAGCCAAATAAACAATGAAATACTTAGAAAATATTGTAATGAAAAGTAGCGTCTGCAGCACAGGCAGAATCTCTTGCCCTCCAGACAGAAACTTACAATAACAGGAGCAGGCAGCAGTTACCAAAAATACATTTTTAGTAGCACAAATCCACAATAAAACTCACCTCTACAAAACCCAGCTCCTGCCCCTACTGGCACTCTCTCGCCCATCCACCCTTCCCTCCCCTATTCAGATTAAACCAGACAATCAGGCCATGGAACAGTCAGGTACTTAGCTGGCCCAGTCACTGTGGCCCCCTCCCCGGGGTCCGAGCATCCGACGCAGTCCAACGTCCCGGGGATTAACTTCCGAGAACGGTGGGTAGATCCTGCGACCTGCATCCGTCTGCCTGGTCTCTCTGCGGCAGATGTTGTTGTGGCCTCGACACCCAGCTACTCCCACCCTAGCTGCCTAAGGGAGGCAATAGCCTCCCCTCCTAGCGCTGGAACACCACCCCCTACTCAGCTTTCTTCCTCACTGGCAGCCCTAACCGACTGTGAGCGATGCCACCCCCCAAAACAGGGTGCCACAATGACAGGTCGACCACACGCACACACCTCTTTCTGCAAATCTGCCGCCCTTTATCACTTTTGGCTTCATCATGCCGAACAAGCACCAGCTGGTCTTCAATCACCACGCCCCCAAAGGTCAAGTACTAACTTCTGCCCTTTACAATGTTATCCGTTTTATCAGTTTTTAACTCATTCACTGCCAGCCGTTTCCTGATCACTAACGGCCTTTGCTGCCAGCGTTTCTCACCGTTTTCACTGTTTTTTTAAGAGTCACAGAACGTTGCGTGCTAGCATGATGTCGATGACAAAACAAATAGGAGACTCACTTCTTACATCAGGAAGAGTCCGCGTGTTTCGAGCGTTTTCCGTTCTTTCATAATCTGTTGTCGAATTGTGATCGGCAGACGCTTTTACGGTTCACGCCTCACTTTTTTTTACAGGAACGGCCCAAAACGATCTCCAAACACATGGATGTGTTGCTTCCTGATAATGTGATCTGTGTCGTATGTGGATGAAGATCGGCTTCAGGGCTGAGATGTTTGTTCTCTCAGCACGGGGGCTCGTTCCGATGCTCAAACAGTAAAAAAATGCAAATGACGACTTTAGTCGTCAATGGCAGTGAATGAGTTAAGTATTTAGCAGTTGCTCGTGTTTTCAGTGTCATCAAATCTCAGTCAAAAGGAGGCAATACTGTTTTTGCATGTTTGTTTGAGTAAAATGCAAGTCAAGATTGCCGCCGCAGTTCACGAAACTCGACAAACGCCAAAAGGTTTTACAGAAGATACAGAACTGATTCACGTTTAGAGTTAACCCAGTTCAGGGTAAAGGGAAATGTTGCAGTAGTGCATGAAGAAAGAGCACATCGGTTACAGGTTTGACTGAAACAGCTGCAACTCCATCGAGTCTCAACTCAGACTGCTTTTAGTTCAAGCTGGGCAACGTCCAATCCTCCAAGGACATTCTTGGCTTTTCATTGATGAAAGCTGACTTGATTTTAAACTGATTTAAAAATCTGCACAGTGTACAAACTTGGATGTAGCCCATGTCGTCTAGCATGTCTGGACTTCTTCATGAACCCCTAAAAAGGCCAGCACTGTATTAGAGAAGCCGCTAAACCCTCTCATTCTCACACACTCTAACACACACAGGTGGCTTTAAGATCTCATAGAAGAACTCCAAATATGTTGAACACACAGCTGGCCTTTTTTTTCTTCATTTTATTTATTTTTTTGTTTTTTTCCTCTTAGCTGTTGGAAGACACACACACACACACACACACACACACACACACACACACACACACACACACGCACATGCATGCACGCACGCACACACACACACACACACACACACACACACACACACACACACACACACACACACACACACCATGCTTTGTTGTTGAGAGGAAAGAGTAGGAGGGAGAGTGATCGGGAGAGCAAACAAGAGCTGGAACTGGATTCAGAAGCTTCGGGGATTTGATTCAGTTTTCAGAGGAGATGAATATAGCTGGTTTTTACACTCGGCGTAGTCTATTGTTTACATTGTGATCATGCATTACTCAGCTTAGTTTTATCGCTCCCTTAGGAGCGAGTTTGGTTCTGAATAAAGGTGCAGTTCAGGAAAACAGATGCAAACAATCCAGAAGGATGATCCCAAACAAACAGCACAGAGTGAGGAGGGATGTGGAAGTGAGTGTAGGATGGAGAAATGACTGAAGCAGAGGGAAAGGTGCTGAGTCTGGAGATTATAGGAGTTGTTCTGTGGCTCTGGTTATGTTAAAGGTCAGGATTAAACAAGACCAGTGCTCCTCTCTCCAAACATGACCCCTCTTCACTCTACATCTCTCTTATCCTGTTCAGTCCTTTTTTTCCAGCTTCTTTTAAAACTCACGTTGAATCTTTTTCTCTCCTGGTTTGCAGACACCATTATTGGTCCAGAGATCTTCGGGGATGTGACCAACTTCAGCACCTTCCTGCTGGACCCATCATCAGGCATGCTTGTCCTGGGTGCCAGGGATGCCATACTAGCTGTAGACACCAACAACATGAGCAAACCACCAAAAAAGGTGACACACCTGTGTACATGTGTAAATATCCGTGTGTTTGGAGCTACGAATGGAATAAGAAAAACATTTATGTGAATATCACCTAAATACAATCAGATGGTACAAAAAGAAATGTGACTAAATTAGGTTTTCAAATCATCTCTAGAACCTTTCAAAGAAGCGTTTGCTGCTCATTCTTCACGACCAACCAACAGAGCTCACATTTCTAGGAGGTGTAACCAGTGTTGGGCCTCTTACGTTAAAAAAGTAATTAGTTAAAGTTACAAATGACTTTTTCCAAAACGTAATTGAGTTAGTAACTTATTACAAAAGTAATTAGTTACCTAGCAAAGTAACTGTGATGTTATTTTTATGTTCTATAACACAGTTAATTGTATAACATTCATAATGTGAAGAGAACTGAATGATATCTAGAATGAAGACTTCAGATAAATGAAAAGTTCATCCAGTAGGAAGTTCTAATGGATATCTGGAATGTTCGTTTCTACTACAATGG